CAAAGTCAAAAACAAGCCCTAATCACTGTATAGCAGTGGTTGAAAACAAAACATTTTCTGCCTGGATTTAACAGATTATTTCCTTTAATAAGCAATATCTATGACTGAGTTCTGAAAGATGGCCCGTTAATACCGCCTTGTTGAACAAACCACACATTAAAAGTGTAGTTTCTATTGTCCCTAGTGACTGGAAGGAGGATCAGTGAAATGCTACAATCAATCCACATCCTTCTGTAACCTTCCTGCAGTAGGAAGAGAGGCCATCAACCACCTTGCAGGAGAAACAAACCTTTGAGATTGGTTAAGACTTAAAACCCACCACTATGACATTTACCACTTAATCTTACATAGGCAGGTCAAAAATTTTAATATAAATTACTTTTCCAACACATAGCTTATGCATTCTTTGCTCCTTTTTTTTGGAGGATTCTCAAATTGATTATCTAAAGATTTACATATGATATATTACTGTTACATGGTCTAATGACTAAGAAAATTTCTCTGGTAACCAAAGCTGATTCCATATATGGTAGTGTTCTTGGCATATATTCTATATGCCTCAGACCACTTCCACATTCTTTCTATTCAGCTAATTATAGCTTAGTAGCCACGGGTGAGGATTGTGAAGACCCTGTCATTTCTACAGAATAGAAAGGCAAGGCTAGTTACTGCAATTCAGCCAAACAAAAGAACAGAAAAAAAAGAGTAAACCAACCCCTTAAAAAGGAGAGGTACCGCACCTTTGCAAAATTGAACTGGCTCACTGCAGCTGAGCAACAGAACCACCACTGAAGCAAGAAAACAAGTTGGTCTATACAGGAATTGTACATGATTTCAAAACAAAAGTTACAGCGGTCAACTAATAGCTGCAACCTTAATTTTCATTGCTGCCTCAAAGTTTGAAACTAAACAGTTTCTGCAAACCTAATGCTAGCTTCTCAGCTCCTTTACTAAAACTACTTAGGGATTTGTTCTCCGCAGCAAAGAAATAAAACACTCAAAACACATAGGTAAATACAGCAGGACATCATTGAAAACAGCTGCCTTGTAGTACAAAATACAGTACAAGTATACGGATGTCATTAAAACATCGAAAATACTATTGCTCCCATACAATTTAGGAAACATTCTTTGCAACGGAGAAAATTTTAAAAAAAAAGAAAAGCTTTAAAAAAATCTGTTTAAAAACTCTACTGTGGACGATGAGAGTAGAGAAATTGTCTGAAAAGGGCACCAATGTTTGTGGCTCTTCCACTTTTTTTTAAATCTAAGATTAATAATATTCTGAATCACAGTCTAATTTGTAAAAAAGCCTCATTTTATATACATAATTATTTCCCTCCCTCTCAGCCACAATGCATGAAAACGACCTTTTTGTATATTACTTAATTCCTAATAAATACAAAAAGATTGTATATATTGAATAATACCAAAATAAGATAATAAAAAGGGTATGCAATAAATTAAAAGGCAGCTCAAATAAAGGGCAGTCATGCAGTTAAAAAAAAACAACCACTAAGATTGTGGAGGTGGGGTTACTTGCCTCTTGGTTGAGAAGGTGTTGCACAAAGCATACCTGAAAAACTTTGGAAAGAACATAGCTCCCATTTGATTCAAAGTTACCTAGGTCTATGACACTCAAATACCTTTTGATGGGGTGGCATTAACTTGATTAGTAAAATCACTTCTACTGAAAATCCATTTAAAATATAGAAGAGGCGATCCTTGAAAACCCCAACTTTTATTCTTGAAAGACAGCTGGATAAACTGGCAAAAGCCAGTTTTGTTGAAATTTCAAGATGGTATAAAAATGCTTCCATATAGTCAGCATATTCACGTTCACTTCGGCTCCATTCAGATGGATTTCAGCTTCCAAAGGGCACACTGCTTGCTAGACACACATCCATCTTTTGCCAACTTTGATTGTGAGGTACTAATACAATGGATCAAGTTTTTAAAATTTTATTTAAAAAGAATAAATGATGCTGGAATTCTGGACCTGAGGATCTTTAGTATTTGAACAAATCCACAGATTAAACTGAAGGTAGAGGAAGACTTCAGTTTTCGTTATTTCCAACTTTTCTGTTAGATGTATATTCCATTAAAGCTCAGGCTTGTAGCCACACTGTTCCTTTTTCAAGTTTTGTGGTTTAAAATCCAGACAACCAGTGGCCGAAACAGCCGAATTAGCCTTAATTCACTGGCTCACATGGTGGAGCCACAGGGATCTGGCTCTCATTCATACCTAAGCCATTTCTTGGTAATGACCTCCATGTTTAAGAGATCAGGGGGAAGAACTTTAGTGAGCAGCAACCAATCCACTCAAACCGTTTTTTCCTTGTGCTTTATGCCTGATTTTTTTCTTGTGCCTATCTCAGCAACCCCGATGTAAAACTGCTCTTTCATCTTCAAAATTTTTTGCCAACTTTTAAAATATTTTAGTAACCAATTCCAGTTCAAGGTTTGACTTCTGAATCCATTTGCATCCTGGAAGACAATTCTGCAAAGACAAGACACTGGCCTTGGTCCAGATATGGTGCAAAGCCTTTAATCTTCAACAAAATGGACCCAATTTGTTTTCGTATTCCCCGGTGACTTTTTGAATTCCTATTTTGCCTTGTCCATGATTAAAGTTGCATTCCTTTTCATTAAACCTGTACCCTCAGAACTGGGTAACTGCAAAGGTCTCTCTCTTCTCAAGAATTCCATGAAGACCTAAATCCAAAATGCTGATTTCAATGGAGGTGAAGGAATAGACACTGCAATAGTAAGGTCTGGAGAGATCTTTAGGTTCCCAAGCACAACACAAGTTCAGCTGTTATCACGAGGTCTGGGTAACTCGGAAGTGTTCCTTGGCCCAGGGTGTGGGAGGACCTAGCCCCCACCGGGGTTACCCCGATGGGCGTCGGACCCTCAGCGGGGAAACCACAGAAGCTGGGACTATTTTGCTCGGGTGAGGAGACGCTGTTCTCTTTGCAGGTTGCTGTCCGCTCCTTGGAACTTGACGGCTTTTTTTCTCTAATTGTCCGTGACTGTCCTCTTATGGTGATGTCTCGTAATTAACTACATTATTTTAAATGTTGTTTTCTCCCTGTGGGCCTCCCTTGCTCCCCCACCAGCTCACTGGGGATGAGACGAGGGGATGGAGGTGGGGGCGGAGGCCCGGAGGGGAAGCGGCGTGTTTCAGTCCTCATCCACCTCCTCGCCCTCGGACTCGTCCCCGCCGCCGCTGCCCCCGCCGCGCCGCTCGTAGAGCTTATCCCGCTGGCGCTCCTGGATCTCCTTCATCTCCTCCGCATACCGGCAGAAGGCGCCCCCGAACTTGCCCCAGGCCTTGAAGGGGACGGTGATGGCGTTGCGGTAGGACGGCTTCACCTCGCTCACGCGCAGGAACACCCCGTACTTGTTGCAGCCCCACGTCAAAGAAGAAGCGCTTCGAGTCCACGGGGATGGAGGTGCCTTCCGGGAGCTCCCCCGAACGGGCCCGCCCCCGGGGCCCGTGCACTCGCATCGACACCGGCCACAACATAGTCGTCCTCGCCCCCCGAGTCCTCCCATAACCTTTGTCAACGTCTTCCGCGAATCTCGATGAAGCCCGCTTCGGGAAGTGCGATACTCTGGCTG